TAGGAACCAATATATGCGATGAAAATAACAATAAGGTGGTCAGATTCAAAGAAATGAACAGTTCTAAAACAACAGAAACTACAAACAGTACATGAAGTTGGGAGAAAACATCATTCTTCGTCAAATACTATTGCGTTTTAAAAAACTGTGGTAGCTGGTGACAAATACGCAGTCAATATTTTACATCCGTTTAACACCATCAGTTGCGAATAAAATGCATCAGTGAATAAACTGGTCGATCTATTTATTTTTGAAATTTGATGTATTTCTATTGCCACAAAACCGTTCATATCTTAGAATCCCACCTTCTTATTGCTATTTTCATCGCATATATTGGTTCCTAGATCAATATTAATGGACCATAAAGTTTTCAAAGTCTGAAAAAAGGGGTTTCGCGATATATTTTTTAATAATTTATTTGTCGGATTTTAGTTTTAAATAGTTTTTAGGGTCCTGTCCTCGCGATATATTTTGCAAAACCTCCTTTTTATTATTCTAAAGTTATTTGGGATGTTTTGAAGCCGCGACGACCATATCTAATACTCTCATTTTGAGATTAGGACGAGAAATTACCATATATTAAACGAAAAATTTGCTGGAGAATGTATTGAACGTAAGTGTGAGAAAATATTCGCGTAAAAATGCCGTGGTTTATTGGAATCGTCGCCAAATCGCTTTTAGTACGTGGTTACCCGCAATGGAAACTATAAAAAGACAAAGCGTGTGTTATATAAATATTTTTTTGAAAAATAATAATAAAAAGCAAAATACTTTTTTGAGATAATCATTTTTGGTTTGGTAGAGATTTTGGCCGATATCTTCGAGACCAATAGGTCTTTCGCAGCGATTCTTGCAGAAATAAGATCTAAATATGTCCACAAACATATCCCATCATACATAATTCATTTTACATCTTTAGTATGCTGGCTTTAGGCGTATATATTAGAATTTTGTCAAATTTATATTGAGGCAAAATACTTATTACACTCACTGTATGTGTAAAAAATAGACACATTTCTTTCATTATAGTCAACTATGTAAATTTTGAATCGCTACACAAACGTATTAACAAACATTATATATTTAAAATAAACAACACACACCACCGCCAATACTCTCCATGTTCACTTTGTGTGTTTATGATTTGTATTTAGCGGTTTTAAACGTTTTAAAATACGCCTTAATTTCTTAAATTGTTTTTATTTCTTTAATTTTATTTTCAAAGTTTAGAGTTTGGCAACGATTTTCACCGCTTTTAAGATACTTTTACGCAAAAAATCTTACAGATACATAAAATTTGACATGTATTCTTTTTAATGTCTTCAAAAAAGATTTTATTTTCCAAAATTGAAAAAATGACATTTTGCCCAAAAAACTGTCCAAATTACCTATAGTGGAGTGTATTGACATACAGTTTTTCATAGATATTAGAATGTAATGTTTATGGTTTTTTCATTGTTTCAAATATCTGTGTATATCACACATTTAATTTTACCCTATTCCATTTCAATGATCCTCCAAAGAAGCTATGTATGTGCTATCTACAGTATTTTGTACTTATTAGCAAATCTTGTATGTCCGACTTTTCAACTTTCCTTACTGTTTTTTATTTGTAACTCATACCTCTCACAAGGCTCCGTTCTAGAGGACTGGTGTCAATGAGAAAAATATACATGAAATTTCACCATATGTTATGTATGTAAATGTATATGTAAAATCTCTTTATATAATATCCAGGAGTCTAAAGTACTATATTACGGATCAATAATTTCATGGATTTATCTCCTATTGGTAAATTCAATACAAATCCCTCTAGCCAATATATTATATATATATATATATATATATATATTTTTACACGTGGTTATTAATTTTCTCGGGATATCAATTGATATTAGTTCTAAATCATTTCAAGTGTTGTGCAATTTGATAAGTCTCAATTGGTATTATCTATTATCTGGATATTGTTAAAATAACCTATGTCTCGGTAGCTGAGTTTTAGTTAAATGTCGGCAATTCTTCTCTTGGCCATGATAAATGTCGAATAAAAAAACACAAAAAAATCAATTTACTTCACTTACACGTTTTAGATAAGGTATATTTGTACAAACGCACAACAAAACACAAATCTTCTACTTGACACAATAATGCATTTGATTTTTGTCTTCTAATAACAGATATAGCCACTGGGTGCGTGAGATTAAATTAATGATCATAAAACTTGATTATATTATGAAAAAAAAAATAGTCTGTGAAAGATAACATAAATTGAGCGTTTTTTTTTTGTATTAAACGGCATATCAACAACTATAGATAAACTCGTATGGAAAATTTTTTGATAAGTAATTTCGACTAAATTTTTGAACACAAAAGAGGAACTATCTATCAATTTGTTTGTCATGGTTTTGGTATACACTGGTGGCCAAAACTAAAACAACTGAAATTTGCGAACTGAATAAATAACCTTTAACGTTTTTTTAACTTGAAATAAATGTAAAAAAATATAAACTCAAAACTAGTTTGACCCAATTTTTTCCTGATCAAAACTAAAGCAACTTTTTGATTTGTTCTTATAAAAATGTAAATTATGCTAGTAATCGACACCATAACCATTATTTTTGATCACGGCAGCGCACCTACGATGCATTTTTAAGATGCTCATTTTGATCCTTGGGTATATTATTCCGTGCATCCTGAACCTTTGCAAAAAGGTTATGTCTGTTTGTCTGTGAAACTCTTTTGATTTGTGCTATATATGATTCTCCAAATATTTTTCCCATAGGTTAAAGATCTGATTACTGTGTTTGGCTATTATAAATCCCTGATTTTTGATACCAGCAACCAGTCTTTGACACGTTTTGAAAAGAAATTCTTTGTATAAACAATGCGATTTATTACTTCATAAATCTCGAACTCCATAAAAAGAAAATCAGTCCAATACCATTATTGATCGATACTCCTCCATGCTTCTCAGTACCTTTGCAATACTGTGACATGAGCCTTTCATTTTTGGACTTTCTAACAGTAATTTTGTTCATATCTGAGTGTTTAATATTTAACTTTAATTCATCCGAGAGCATAATATTTATCCACTAATTCGAATTCCAATTAATATGAGGTTTTGCTCAACTCGCTGCCTGTATCTATCACCACGTTTCCTTCTTCATCTCTACAAGGCTTGGTGTTTAAGACGTTCGTAAAATTTCCGGATTCGTACACTGGATGAATGCCTTCCGCCTATCAAAACATGATCAATTTGATTTCTCGTTGCTCGATCGAAATCCAGGTGGCCTTGTTTATATCGAGATGCTTGAATCTGGTGCTGTTAACTACCATGTTTTTTTTCTGCCTCGAAGTCAATCAACCTCATGCCGTTGTCAGATTTTTCTTCATGAAGGCTGAATTTTCCAATGGTGGGGCTAAAAATATTTCCCCTTCCGATTTTGCATTAAAATCTCATAGCAGAATTTTAGTGTGGTTTTCTTTTTCGTTGCTTTTGAGGGGTTTTCCAACTCACAATTTCAATGGACGATGAAAGTAGCTACACCAGATGACACCGCGGGGAGTTCCGTGTCCACAATTGAAATGAAAGAGGGACCAAGATAAGCCTGGGCTTTGCCTTGTTAAAGTCAATCAGAGCCGGTACTTGGTATCTATCATCCCCTACGATTGCTAAAAAAGCATTCTTGTAGAAAATTGCTCTCCTACTTCTAGTAGTACCGTAGTGCTTTTTCCTGATCAAAACTAAAGCAACTTTTTGATTTGTTCTTATAAAAATGTAAATTATGCTAGTAATCGACAGCATAACCATTATTTTTGATCACGGCAGCGCACCTACGATGCATTTATAAGATGCTCAATTTGATCCTTGGGTATATTATTCCGTGCATCCTGAACCTTTGCAAAAAGGTTATGTCTGTTTGTCTGTGAAACTCTTTTGATTTGTGCTATATATGATTCTCCAAATATTTTTCCCATAGGTTAAAAATCTGATTACTGTGTTTGGCTATTATAAATCCCTGATTTTTGATACCAGCAACCAGTCTTTGACACGTTTTGAAAAGAAATTCTTTGTATAAACAATGCGATTTATTACTTCATAAATCTCGAACTCCATAAAAAGAAAATCAGTCCAATACCATTATTGATCGATACTCCTCCATGCTTCTCAGTACCTTTGCAATACTGTGACATGAGCCTTTCATTTTTGGACTTTCTAACAGTAATTTTGTTCATATCTGAGTGTTTAATATTTAACTTTAATTCATCCGAGAGCATAATATTTATCCACTAATTCGAATTCCAATTAATATGAGGTTTTGCTCAACTCGCTGCCTGTATCTATCACCACGTTTCCTTCTTCATCTCTACAAGGCTTGGTGTTTAAGACGTTCGTAAAATTTCCGGATTCGTACACTGGATGAATGCCTTCCGCCTATCAAAACATGATCAATTTGATTTCTCGTTGCTCGATCGAAATCCAGGTGGCCTTGTTTATATCGAGATGCTTGAATCTGGTGCTGTTAACTACCATGTTTTTTTTCTGCCTCGAAGTCAATCAACCTCATGCCGTTGTCAGATTTTTCTTCATGAAGGCTGAATTTTCCAATGGTGGGGCTAAAAATATTTCCCCTTCCGATTTTGCATTAAAATCTCATAGCAGAATTTTAGTGTGGTTTTCTTTTTCGTTGCTTTTGAGGGGTTTTCCAACTCACAATTTCAATGGACGATGAAAGTAGCTACACCAGATGACACCGCGGGGAGTTCCGTGTCCACAATTGAAATGAAAGAGGGACCAAAATAAGCCTGGGCTTTGCCTTGTTAAAGTCAATCAGAGCCGGTACTTGGTATCTATCTATCCTACGATTGCTAAAAAAGCATTCTTGTAGAAAATTGCTCTCCTACTTCTAGTAGTACCGTAGTGCTTTCTATATCTGTTTGGATTTTTTCAACATATTTTCTATCAAATTTATTTATTAATATGTGTTAATTTTCTTCAGCTTCTGGCATGCTACTCCACCAGTGGCAGATCAGCCAGTAATAAAATTTACGATTCACCCGAAGAAGCTTTGGCTGATATGAAAGATGGCGCCCTAATTCTTTTTGGTGGTTTCGGTCTTTGCGGCATTCCCGAAAAACTTATTGATGGCATCACCAGAATGAAAGTCAAGAATCTTACAGCTGTTTCCAATAATGGAGGTGAGTGAGTGTAAAAATATTTATTTCAAAATTGTAACAGCCATTGCAGAATTTTATGTCCTTATATAAATTGGAATAAAAATACGCCCTATTTCGTAATATCAATGAGATTAGAAAGTTCTGTAATTAAATTGTAATGAGAATCGCTTATGATGTCATATCGATTATAGCGACCCGACCAATTTCATCTGTCAGTATAGCTAAACATTTTTCCAAGATATTTTTGGATTTCATTAATAAAATGACCCTGTTTATTTACTACCAATTTAGGCATTGACGACTGCGGCTTGGGCAAACTCTTGAGAACACGTCAACTGGGCAAAATGATTGTGTCTTATGTTGGTGAAAATGCCGACCTGGCTAGTCAATATTTGGGTGGTGAATTGGCTGTGGAATTAACGCCACAAGGTACTTTGGCAGAAAAAATCCGTGCTGCTGGTGCCGGTATTCCTGCATTTTTCACCGCAACTGGTTATGGTACTTTAATACAAGAAGGCGGTGCTCCCATTAAGTATGCCAAGGATGGTAGCATTGAAATTCCCAGCAAACCAAGAATTGTAAAGGAATTCAATGGCAGAAAATATGTCATGGAAGAAGCACTCCATGCTGATTATGCTATTGTTAAGGCCCATGTTGCTGATACCATGGGTAATTTGAGTAAGTACATAACGGGAGAATTTATGTCCAAATTTACAACATATGATTTTGTTTTCGTATTACAGTTTTCAATAAAGCTGCACGCAACTTCAATGCTCCCATGTGTCGTGCTGCCAGAATCACAGTTGCTGAGGTCGAAGAGATCGTTCCAGCTGGTGAATTGAATCCCGATCACATTCATATTCCCGGTATTTATGTAAAGCGCATCATCAAGGGCACCAACTACGAAAAACGCATTGAAAAAGTCCGCATCACAGAAAGTGCTGAAGACACAGCTAAGACACCATCTCCCGCCCAACTTGTACGTGAACGTATTGCCAAACGTGTGGCCATGGAATTCCGTGATGGCATGCATGCCAATTTGGGCATTGGTATTCCCGTCCTCTCCTCCAATTATATTCCCAAGGGCATGAATGTTTTGTTGCAATCGGAAAATGGTATTTTGGGTTTGGGACCATTCCCCACCAAGGACCAGGTTGATCCTGATCTAATTAATGCTGGCAAGGAAACTGTAACTGTTGTTCCCGGCGCATCGTTCTTTGGATCCGATGACAGTTTTGCCATGATTCGTGGTGGTCATATGGATTTGACAATTTTGGGTGCCATGGAAGTTTCCGCTACTGGTGATTTGGCTAATTGGATGATCCCCGTAAGTGTTGTTAGGCAAAAATAAATTTTATACCGGGGTTGCTATTTATAACTCGCGTGGTGACATGATTTGTTTTGTAATTTGTAAGAACTTTCGAAATTGACAAAACTTTGGATTGAATGACTATTTCACATGGTTATAGTCTCACAAAGTCAAAGCCTCAAAAATGAACCAATTGTATGTTCATAGAAAATGGTATGCTATGGTATTTCGAGTAGTTCAAGAGTTAAGCGTACGCATTATTTTAAAGTCTATGCCGAATCGACAAAATTAACACCTGGTTTAAACAAAAACCTTAGCTAATAATTCAATACCCAGCTACAATCACAAGCTTTCTGATTTTGTCAGTCCCGATTGGTTCAAGATTATAGTGCTGCACAGTGTTATCACTGGAATAGAGAAAGTAAATTATAAATCGATTCCTAAATCTGAGGGATCTTCAATAAATTCAAATCTTTCCCTTGTAAATTTGAAATTTTCTACCAGTTTTTGAGTACGGCAACAGGCTATGTAACTATATTTTCCATGTAATGGAAAAAAATTCACCTATCGCCGAATTCACTTTGGACGCAACCCGCTGAAGTTGCAGCATTCCTGAATTTGGAGGTAGAAGATGCAGAACCAGACGATGCATGACAAAACGACATGTATTCTGTTGCTACAACAACAACAACTATATTTTCCCAAACATTTTACATCGTTAATAAATTTGTCCCAATATTGCATAAATATAAGTTTTTATTGATATATCCATTACATAAATAGCAATCCTCGTAATGAATGAAGAGTGAATTTCCATAAGATCTAAAAACTAATTGTACTTTGCTTATTTCCAGGGCAAACTTGTTAAAGGCATGGGCGGTGCCATGGATTTGGTAGCCTCCGGCAGCAGAGTTATTGTTTCCATGGAACATAATGCTCGTAATGGTACCTCTAAAATCAAGGATACCTGTTCGTTGCCCTTGACTGGCAAGGAAGTTGTTGATCTAATCATTACTGAAAAGGTAAATACCCAGTATTTTCTTAAGTTACTATGCACAATAATAATTACCCCTTTTTTGTTTTGCAGGCTGTTTTCGAAGTCGAGAAAGGAGTTGGTTTGACACTCACCGAAGTTGCTGAAGGTCTCACCGTTGATGATATTATAGCCTGTACCGATGCCAAATTCAAAGTTTCACCCAATGTTAAGAAAATGTCCCAAATTGGCGAATAGATAAAAGGAAAAAGGTTGTTGTGCCCCAACAAAACAAGCATCATTACCTCAGGATCATTAATTATCACATAACATGTATATGCAATTGTTTTGTTCTAAAAATTATTGAAGATTTTATTATTATAGCATAAGATTGTAATGTGTACAAACTGATAGGTAAACAACTGAATGTATGTATATAAGAGTTAATCAAGACGCTACTTACAGTGATAGAAACGATTGCATTTATTTTTTGATCTATATGTACTCTAACAAATTGAACAGTAAATTTTAAATATAAAAAAAACAATAGAATGTTATTTATTTAAAAATGAGATTAGGAAAGAACTAAATGATTGTGGCAAAGAATTAACAAATTGTGGAGCGAAATTATTTCTGAGAATTCGGAGTGCATTATTCCGTGTAGTTTTCAAGGATCTTCGCTGTGTGTCTAAGGAAGGACGTTCAGATGTCGTTATCTTTGCTCCAGGAGGTGCCAGCCAGAGCTTTTATAACATTTTTCCTGCTTTCACCTTCTGGTTGATATATTTGGGATGCGAGGAGAAATGAAGAAGGTTATAGGAGACTTCCACATAGATTTTCGGTTTATGCAAACCTTCATTAGAAATGTCAAGTTCTTTATTGATTTCTCGTGACGCAGTAGACATTGCAGTGGATATCTTAAGACTGCACTTCGGGAAGAAGTTGATGATTGTGGCTAATCAGCGGGAAAATTTTGCTTTGACGTCGTCAAATTATCTTCAGACCAAATAACAGTACATTCATCGGCGTACGAGGGATGGGGTTGGGGAGTTTCTCAAGATACATATTCAGCCCAATCGTCAAAATGTGGGAGAAATTCTATTCCTACTAAAAGCATTTCTCTTAAGAGAAAAATCCTCCAATCGTAGAAAATGTAGGAGTAAAATTTTTGGAATATGGCATCTCTTTTTAATCAACTGTGGGTCTTTTTTATACTTTGTGTACCCTTATTTGTTTGCGCAAATTTAAAGTGTTTGAGTTGTATGAAATAATTAAAAAGAATAGTATTATACTTAGAGGATGTTGCTGCATCCAGAGAGCAAGAAACAACTTCTACAAGATTGCCAAGAAGACAATTGCGAGATAGTTCCAATCCTCTTGAATTGCCACAATCATTGTAAGTGCATAAAAGTTCAAACTAATTGAAACATCTGATATGTATTTCCCAACAGATGCACAAAATACTACCGGGTAAGCAAACCAGCATTCCAATACTTGTTGGAAATTTTGGCACAACATAGTCCTGATCTATATTAGGCGAGTTTACTTGCGGCAATTTTTATCCTCTTTTGAACTTGCTTCATTCGTCTATACCAAGCAAGGTAGATATACAAGGTAGCCGCATCGGCGAATTTCTACAACAAACATCGGTTGTTGTATTTTGATATGTCAAAAATATTTTGCCAAAACAAACAGATTGGCAAGATTTTTTTACACAAATTCTTGTAGAAACTGTTAATAAAAGTATTGCCAAAAAAGCTATTAGAAATTCGGAGATTTTCATTTATAATTTTGTTTTTTAATTTTTTTGTTCAACATTACAACAACATTTTTGACATTTATTTGTCCAACAGCTGGCCCGATGCGGCTACCTTATTAAATATACCTTGATACCAAGGTATATACCAAGGTATATTTAACAAGGTAGCCGCATCGGGCCAGCTGTTGGAAAAATAAATGTCAAAAATGTTGTTGTAATGTTGAACCAAAAAATTAAAAAAACAAAATTATAAATGAAAATCTCCGAATTTCTAATAGCTTTTTGGCAATACTTTTATTAACAGTTTCTACAAGAATTTGTGTAAAAAAATCTTGCCAATCTGTTTGTTTTGGCAAAATATTTTTGACATATCAAAATACAACAACCGATGTTTGTTGTAGAAATTCGCCGATGCGGCTACCTTGTATATCTACCTTGGTATATACATAAGGTAGCCGCATCGGCGAATTGGGAACATGATATGTCAAAATAGTTAACAAGGCGAATTATAATTGATTCGCCGTAATATATCAAATTTGAAGCGAATTTCATTTAACCAATCAGAATTCAGCATTTTGAAATATTAAAAATATTTGTTTACTTTTCGGTAATTTTTAAAATTGTGAATGTTTGTGCAAATTCAGATTGGTGAATGAAAAAGAACATCAAACAGCGACTTAAATTCAATGAAGAGCTTAGGAACGGAACCGGACGTGGACTATTCATCCTTGAATTTTAATGCATTCCATGGACTCCAAATGAAATTCAAAATTCTGGATGTATAATTTTGTTCCAAAACAAGTGTTTCCACTATCTTTTTTCTGTTTAAATTTCATCTCCTTTAAGGGTAGAGTTTGTTCTTATGTTATCTGTTGTATCAACTGAAATTCAAGTCATATCTGTGTGCCCATCCATCTGTACTTCATTAAGTTATGATGTTCTTTCCGTTCTGGTCAAAGGCAAAACCAATAGTTTTGGCAACGATATTTTGAAATGGACCAAAACTTTATTTCATTTTCTATGAAGGTCATAACTATGGTATTGTTAGAGGCTGAAGTATAAGATAATCACCACATAGTTTTGATCCGCAAAAGTCCAATATTCCAGATTTATATTATCGGTCCGTCCGACTATATTTCTTTTCTCATTGCTTTTTTTTTTAATTATTTCATAACATGTATTTCAATAAAAATAATAAAAATTTCAAACGCATTGTTTTTGTTTCTAAATTTAAATCAAGGTAGATATCAAGGTAGATATACAAGGTAGCCGCATCGGCGAATTTCTACAACAAACATCGGTTGTTGTATTTTGATATGTCAAAAATATTTTGCAAAAACAAACAGATTGACAAGATTTTTTTACAAAAATTCTTGTAGAAAATGTTAATAAAAGTAGTGCCAAAAAAGCTTTTCGAAATTCGGAGATTTTCATTTATAATTTTGTTTTTTAATTTTTTGGTTCAACACTACAACAACATTTTTGACATTTATTTGTCCAACAGCTGGGCCGATGCGGCTACCTTATTAAATATACCTTGGTAGATATTTAAGGTAGCCGCATCGGCGAATTGGGAACATGATATGTCAAAATTGTTAACAAGGCGAATAATAATAATTTCGCCATGACATACAAAACTCGAAGCAAATTAAATTCAACCAATCAGAATTAAATATTTTGAAAAATGAAAAATATTATTTTTTTTTTTGAAAATTTTTAAAATTGAAAATGTTTGTTTAATAATTCATTTTGGAATAGAAAGATACATCAAAAGTGCGCATTAAATGTAATAATGTTGGTGGCATCGGGTGTATGGAGATTAACAAGATTTGGACTATTTTTTCCGTAGTGTTTGTATGCCTCACATGAATTTTGAAAAGCAATATTGTATAAAGAAAAACTGTGCCATTGAACCAAATCTTCTTTACGATTCCAAAGTCTTGTTTTCGATTCTATGGTCTTCTTATAGAAATCTCATCTTAATGGCCTACCTCAATGCCTTATTTTCTGCCTTTTGGTTCTTTATATCGAAATGTATTTAAAATTTTGATTTAGAATAGGTTTTGAAAAAAAAAAAAAAACAACAACAATTACTATGACATATATGGTCTGTTCCCGTACTGCAAGAATCTACTCGATTTTACTATTTTCTTCGATATCATAAAGGAAAAAAGTGTTATCGGAGTAAAAAATAGTAGATTCTTGAAGTACGGGAACAGACCAATAATGTTACCATCAGCTGGCTTGATAAGGTTACCTTCTTAATATACCTTGATTTAAATTCTCTTTTTATCTACCTACGGCGAATTAAAATAACAAAATTCTATTTGACATATAATGTTACCATCAGCTGCCTTGATACGGTTACCTTATAAATATACCTTGGTCTATACTAGGGAATTCGATTTTTTTTGACAATGTTCTGGATTGGTTGTTGTTGTAGCAGCTAGTACTGCTGTGTATTTCCAATTTTCTTAATCTGGTTCTGCCTCTAAAACGGCATTTACATTAGATCTTTTTACCGGGGGTAACCTACTTTATGAGGATTTATTTGACATATATGCAAAGGAATTGACAATTGTAAACCACTGGGTTAACGAAATCCTGTTAAATGTAAACGTACTATAACTCCAAATTCAGAAAGGCTGTACAGGTTGAGTCCATAGAGAAGATGGGGTTAGGAGAGTGGGCTTGGCTGGGCAGTTGAATAGGTGTAGCGTGTCATGTGGTCCATTACCACATGCCGGGCAGACATTGTCGACCTCTCCATCAATCCGTGCCCAATACGAATTGAGGCGGCTACACCATCCAGATCTCAGTTGTGCCAAGACCACTCTAGTTTGTCGAGGTAGCTGCTGCTCTTCTGCGGCTATCATAGGCGGATGGTCTCCGAGGAGGGTATTTACACGATATTCTTGAACTGCTTCCTCAACTGCGTCCGTGTGAATACTGTTCAATCCTGCTTGATAGGCCTGATGATCTCGAGGCTCCCTTTTATACCTCTGGACCTCTCTCTCCAGATCATGGATATCCTTCCTGACATGCCTGGGTGGTGGGTGCCTATCCATTAGGTAGCGGCTCTGGATTGGTATTTTATATTACTGACACTACAAACAAAATTTACAAAACAAATTGCCAGAAAATTGTCGGTACGATCAATTTTTTCCAAGTTCTATTCCCCTTGCCCCTCTCTCCTTCAAACAAAGACTTGCCGCAATTAAACTCGCCTAATGTAAATTGGGACATACTCCTACAAGGAAAAACAAGTCTGGAATTCCAACGTTTACCAAGTTGAGTGCCGGGTTAATTTTTTTTGCTGAAGGTGGATATAAACTGGCGTTGGAAAGTATTCTGATGTTTGTATGGCACAATCAACATTTAGTTCTATCCTCTTCGAAGTGGTGACTGTTTTCGAAGCTCACCTTCTAAGTGGATAAAAGTGCCAAAAGGCTCTGAAGAAAAGCGGTGCATTGAGAGAACCAACGGTGTTTTAAAGAATCGTTGGCGCTGCCTCATTGGTGCACGTGAATTGCTTTATAAACCTGAGAAGGCAGCAAAAATCGTGAATGTATGTTGTGCTTTGTGTTATAACAACAGAAACATCAGAAGAAGAGACGTCCCCATGCACCCCTTCTCCTAACCAATATCTTGCAGCCGCCCAAAACCTGAGAGAGAAAATTGAACAAGATTTGCATAACTTATACCACAACACAACCAATTAAAGTAGTTTAGTTTATTTTACTAAAACAAAAATAATTCATATAAAATTTGTACTTAAACGTTAAACGAATTGAATTCATATCACACAGGAGTCATATTATTTAGTTAGAAGAAATTCATCAATTAAGTTGCTCCAATTGCAGGTTTTTACCAATTGGTACTCTACCTCCCGTATTCGTAACTTCTCCATCAGAATGTAATGGCGCTTTAATTTATCCAGTTCATTTCTCTGTATATTCGCTTTTGATACTCATTTTGGGTTTTTTTATCCTCCTCAATTTTTTTGTGTATTCTAAATGTTGTTTTTGGACATCCAATTCACTTTTAATTATTTCCAATGATATTGCGCTCGTTGTTGTTGATTTCTTCGTCTTTTTTTCATCGTCGATTGATCCATCACTGACACTAAATGCTGCATTTGGGTTTTATTTGTCTTCGACCTACAAAGAATTAATTTATTTCTATTTCGATTTGTATTTGAAAAACCATACTTACATTGTTTATCTCCCTTCGATTTTGTTTGTGAGATATTTTGAGAGGAAAACCAGTAAGGAAAGTAGAAAAGTCGGACTGGGCCGACTATATGATACCTCTCACCACTTTGTGTATATTCTACGTATCCTAAAAGACGTCGCCTTTTCGAAGAAACATTGACATGAAATTGAACGAACGAACTGAATGTGTGATTTCTATCTATATCTACACCGACTAACATCAATCCCTGCACAAGTCATTTTGCAACATATGCACTGTTTAAAATTTAAGCTCAATTCGACGCCCATTGATTATTTGGTGTACAATTAACAGGAATAAGTCAAAATATTATATGGAACTATGCTACATCTATATCTGAACCAATTTCAAGGAAACTTGCCAGTGATTAATTCATATTAACTTCAGTACGTTGTGTCAATCGGCCTAGCTATGGATTTAATTCAGTACGCTATGCCAAATTTCGTGCAAATCGAAAGACTGTGGTGCACCAATTGCCTAAAATCGAGCGAAACTATATATGGGTGCTATATCTAAACCTGAACCAATTTTCACGAAATTTAGCACACATCGTTGTAGACTTAATGCAGTACTTTTTGCCAAAATTCGTGCAGATTAAATGATTTTCAGGGACTTTGGTGCACAATTTACCTAAAATCGGACGAAAATATATATGGGAGCTATATCTAAATCTGAACCGATTTTCTCCATTTCAATAAGGTTTGTTCTTGGGCCAAATAAGTGATTTGGCCAAATTTCATCCAAATCGGATTATAAATACGACCTGTACTTTGTTTACAATTTAACATCAACAGATGGACGGACATGCATAGATCGACTCAGGAAGTGATTCTATGCAAAGTCTCAAAAGGAACCATGGGTATATCTCGATTCCTTTTGCCTGTTACAAACATATGCATAAAGACATAATACCTTGTACCACAGTGTGGTGAAGGGTATAAACACAAATCGAACTTTTTTATGATGCCTACTTTTTCTCCTTTCTCTTATTTAATTCCTATATTATTAAAATATGAGATGTAAAAAAAAAACAAAATTCCGCGCGGAATTTTCTTTACGATTGCGGAAAAGAAAGAAATTCCGCACGGAATTATTTTTGACGATTGGGCTGATTGAATAAAATAGGAGATAGGACAGATATAGATATAATTTTTGTTAAGGAGATCTACAATAAAAACGTTTATATCGTATTCAGATTTCATAATTTATTATTATTACAATTTTTTTTTATAAGCAGGCAAGGTTTTTAAACAAAGGCATTCGGACATAGACGGCATTTAATCAAAATATATAAAATGGAATGTTTCTTTTTTTGCTCTCAACCAATTGCCTTCGAGACATCTTTAAGAGTTTTCGATTGTCGTGCCAGCCTCATCTGTTTATTAAGATCGCGAAAAATGCTTGCTTCCATTTCCGATTCAGAACGACATCTGGCACAAAATTGTGAGGTCATGACATGCAATGGACTGCGATAGTAGACCTCCTTGTTCATGTTAACGCCGTTCTTAAAGTGGGCCCAAAAATGAAAGAAAATTTCCAATATCATGACAATAAGAGCCGCATAGACATTGAAAAAGAATATGGTAGGCAGCAATAACATACGATAATTGGATTTGTTGTAACCCAATATGATGTCCTAGAAATAGAAAAAAAGTTATAATTAATTGTTGAATGTGTATTGTATGAATTTTAGGAGGAGAATAATTGCATGTAAAATAGTATATATTGGAAAAAAAGTTATTAAAATATGTTGTATTGGTTTGGATATGGCTAGAATCCGCATATCTCTATAAACGATGGAATTTAGAAAACACGAAAATCATTGACTCAAAGCTATGCAATCTTACCAAGATTTTATTGTGAACATTTTATTGGGAAAATTTTTTACTTGGTGGGAGTATTCTGCAAAAAATTAAAGTACCGAATATTTGATAGAACCTTATGTGGGGCTATGCCCAAAAAACCCAGTGAATATGTTTTTCATTTTCACTTTCTTGGAACACGGAATGCCAAATTTTAACCAATTCCTGACCTTTATTTGGAGGTTATACCAAAAAATGACAGGCAATAATAACTTTTTTTGTTATAAATTTCCATGCTCGAAATTGTAATTCTCAAAATACCGACATTTTTGGAGTGCGGTTATATGGGGGTCTACAGAAAAAGTTGTTTTATGTGTGCATCATTCTTTTTTATTTAATCTGGTTCTGGTCTTGTCTTCAAGGTAGGGAATTTAACTACTTCCACAGGCTGCAGCCATATTTCTTCTGGAGTAAGTTAATTGTAATGGGCAAACACAACCACCTTGGAACGAATTGAGATGGAGTCAGTCAATAAATGGCGAGAAAACCAAGCTGATGGTATTAACATGCAAGACGTCCAGTAGACTCGGACCGAGGATTCAGGCAAGTTGACAGTTTGTTGTGTGATCTTTTTAACATCCTGCTGGAAAATGTCATACGAGAGGCAAATGTGAACAGAAATGGTACTCTGTACGCCAAACAGCACATGTTACACGCCGATGACATCGACATAATGGGTCGAACATTGCGATCGATAACAACCAGCTATGAACGAATTGAGATGGAGTCTGTCGAAGTGGGTCAGGCAATAAATGGCGAGACGACCAAACACGCAAGACGTCCAGTAGACTCAAATCAATGGTGGACTTTGAAAACTACAGCTTCGAAGTAGTGTATGATTTTATATACCTCGGTTCCTCCATAAACAAAACTAATGACAGCAGTTTTGAAATTCGAAGAAGGATAGTGTTGGCTAACAGTTGCTACTACGGTCTGAGTAATCAATTCAAAAATAAAGCCATCTCTCGCCAGACCAAACTCACAATCTATAAGACGCTGATACTACCCCTACTAGTGAATGGATCTGAAGCATGGGTACTTGCGCAAGTAGACGAGGCAGCTCTTGGAGTGTTTGAGAAAAATGTCTCCGGAAGAAAAATGTCTCCGGAAGATCAATGGACCGATCTGCGTCTTATGGAACAAACGTTCTGTCACAAGCCAGCTAAATAAGTAAGTAAGCACTAGTATCAATGGTTCATTATCAGACAGAAAAAATATTGTCAAACAACTAAGGATTATTTCAATAAATAAATGTTAAGGATATAAACAGAACCACAAATGAAATTGACTTACATTTGAGACTCCTTCCATATTGATGAAATCATCACGATTATAGGATTTTGCTTTCGATGCCAATTTCGGTTTCGGTTTAATCGTTTGTACGGATGGTGTTGTTGTTGATTCTTTGCTAATACTGGCGCACGGCTCCTGATATATCTCCTCACTGCGTCCGAGCATTTGTTTTTCGAATTCTTCGCATAGCGAACCACGCAGCAGTTTTTTGGGTATTTGGAAATTTTTCTGTTTTTTATAGCGCACCCTAAATTTGCCATTAATAGGTTCGCCCGTTTCGGCGTCATAGCTTAGTTGGTGGATTTGGCCGCCATCTGTTTGAATGTAGCTAACCTCACCGGTTTCGGAATTCTAAAAGAAAGTGAGAGAAGAAAAAGTGAGAGAGATGAAATAGAACTTTCATTGGATAATATTCTGTGTTGTTTCAATTATCATTGATTGATGACGTCGTAAGTATGTGACTTGTTTAAAAATTATAGAAAAAAAGTAAAAAGAGAATGATGAAATATATGAAGGGTTTTTTGTAATTAACACTTGATTGCAAAATAAACACATAAATTAAAAAGAAAACTAACAATCCGCAGGTAGGTATATGCGTAAGTATGTTAGACCCCAAATGTCGATATGATAGAGTTTGGTGTGGCATTGATAAGATTTGTAATTTTGTTTATAGAATTATTTATATGAATCAGCCAACTAGTTGAGCACTTATCAGATAAAAATGTTTTGATATTGTTTGCTGGTAATGAATATTCTGAGATGTGGAAAACATATTTTATGCCTGTCTAAAATCTAACCAATATTATTATGGCTTGGACAACGTAACTATATTGCTCATAAAACGTAATTTGGAGGCCAGAATACGTAAAGATGGGCCAATAGTTATTACTTCAGGAATATTTGGAATGACACTAAATATTCAAAATGCCGAAAATAGAGAGGGATTATTATATGAGACCGACATAGCAGTACATTATAAAAATACCACAGATGGATATGGCTATATTGTCTTCGAAATTTATACTTTATATATTTTATTACAAAAAGTAGAGTTGGGCAATCGAGTTCAGGGATCGAATAGATCTTTCTCGTTACTCTTTAAAAATGGAACTAGTTCATTAACGGCTCTGATTGGCTTTAACATGACAAAGCCCAGGCTTATCTTGGTCCCTCTTTCATCTCAATTGTGGACACTGACCTCCCCGCGGTGTCACCTGGGGTAGCTACTTTCATCATCCGTTGAAATTGTGAGCTGGAAAACCCCTCCTACTATGAAAAAGCAACGAAAAAGAAAACCAAACTTCCCAATATTGACGAATCTGCAATTGGAATGTGCGCACGTTGTTCGGAACAGGCGCATTTTTCGCGTTGGCGGATGTACTCAAGAAGTACAAAGCCAATATTATTGCGTTACAGGAAATGTGATGGAAAGGAACTGGCGTAAGTAAATCAGATGATTACGCACTGTATTATAGCTGCCATGAAACGACACATTGATTTGACTGTGGATTTATGGTTAACAGGAGAATAAAAGACCTCGCCTCCAGATTCACTCCAGTAGACGAGCCAATTGCTGCAATCCGTATAAAAGCGAAGTTCTTCATCAGTTATATTTGCGCCCATGCTCCGATGGAAGACAAAGAGATAAAATATTTTTTGACCCAGCCTCCATGAAGAAACATCCGACAACGGTATGAGGTTGATTGACTTCGCGGCAGCAAAAACATGATAGTTAGCATCAACAGATTCAAGCATCTCGATAAGCACAAGGCCACCTAGATCCTCCTGATCAAGATCAAAGGCATTCATCCAGTGTTTTAGACGTTCGATCGGTACGAGGAGCGAATAACGATTCGGATCATGACCTTGTGACAGCCAAGTTTCACACCCGTCTTAACTCGACGTCGAAAAGCTGCACAACAGATAGCCGAAGCCTACACCACTCAACTTAAACACGTGCATGGCGAAAACACTCCTTGTCGAGATAACTACAAACTGCAGCAAAAGCAACACTGGGGTGCAAAAGACCGCCATCAAGAAATCCATGATACGATCAGGAGCGTCGCAATGCTACTGAGGTGAAAACGCAGCGTATGGGCCAACCCTGCAGACAGTAGCTACACGTAATGCGAGAGAGAATTATCGGGAGAATATTCAGAAACGTGAGCGTGGGCAAATCGTGATGTGCAGGAGTCAGAATGAAGTTCGGAAATTTTATCAATGAGTAAAACACAAAACCGAAGGTTTTGGTGCAGACACATCCTCCCGTAGAGATGAAGATACAGATATAGTGTTGAGGATCTGGAAGGAGCATTTTGAAAAACGTTGGATCCCAACGTTTTTTTTTGTGGCGGTGAAGAAGATGCAGATATAATGTTGAGGATCTGGAAGGAGCATTTTGGAAAACGTTGGTATCAAATAATGGCGGTGAAGAAGATGCCCCAGAACCAATAAGAGATAACGGTATAGAGTGTATACCACGTAGCCAAGATCAGGTCAGAACTGCAATCAATGCGCTGAAGAATTATAAAGCAACATGTGCCAATGCGCTTCCAGCCGAACTATTAAAGATCAGTGGTCAGATGCTGGTCAGGAGCATGCACTAGCTGATTAGGCAATTTGGCCTGTGTACAAGAAGGAGACAAGACAATTGGCCTGTTCCTGTACTGCAAGAATCTACGAGTTTTTACTATTTTTTTCGATATTATAAAGGGAAAAATTGTTATCGTATTAAAAAATAGTAGATTCTTGCAGTACGGGAACAGACCAAATGTGGCTTCAGGCCTGACAAATCCACCATTGCACTATAGGTCAAATGACCACTTTTTCTGTGCAAAATTCATAGCGCCACCAAATTAAAGGTATTTTATTGATTGGCTGCAACATTTTACATCAATTCAATGTACAAATTCGAGAAAAACGTCCTGGCTTACAACACAAAAAGAAATAATTTTTCATCAAGTCAACGCACCAGCGCACAAGAGTGTTTTAAATTAAAAGTTGCTTGACCACACACCTTATTCTCCTGATTTAGCTCCCAGTGACTTTTACTTGTTCTCAAATCTAAAAAAGTTCTTGCTGTCAAGCGTTTTACCTAAAATGAAGCTGCAATTACTGTTGTAAAGCACTATTATGAAGACCTAGAGGAAAACTATTTTAATCAAGGGATCGAATTGCTAGAAAACTGTTGGACTAAGTGTATTGAAGTTTCAGGAGATTATATTGAATAATAAAAATATTTTTTTTTTGATAAACTAACTACAGTAGATATCGGATATAAGAAACTCAAAAAACGGGAGATTTCTTTCTTATATGGAATTATCGGATATAAGAAAATTGTTTCTTATAAACGTAAATACGCATATGAGAAATCTTTCTTATATGAATATATTCTCTTAAGGTAAAATGTTTAAATGAAAAGCGCGTTTTAAAGAAAAACGATAGAAAATTACTAAATTAAAATCACTTCACAGTTTGACTAACGTACATACAAATAATATTCTTTCAAATATAATTTAAAAAATTAGTCGAATTATGTAACGAACATACCCATTGTAAATAATAATACACCTATCGATAGCATTTAGTAAACGAACGTACCCATTGTAAATAATACATTTATCGATAGCATTAAGTACGATCAAATACAACAATATAATTAGAATTATGAAATAAAATGAAAAGGAAGCCATTCTTGGCGTACCCTTAGAGGAGAGGGAGTTATCACGCTAATGAAATAAAACATTTTCAATGCTTATAAATTGGCCAATAATCTTACATATTTTCTTATTTCTTTAGTGTTTTAAAAACATTTCTTATGTTTTTCTTATTCGCGTTTTTCTTATATGAAGCAATTTTTACACTGAGGAGATGTTATATATGCGATTTTTTCTTATATGAGATGTGCTTATAAGGAGTTTTCGAACCGCAAAATTGTATACATATATCAACTATTATTGGCTGGACCGATTTCAGTAAAAATGGGTTCCAACTGTCGGTAATTGCAGTGGAAAGGTTTTTATGAAATAACATTTTAAGAAAAATCCGCGAAAGTCTCGCAAAATTATTTTGAGGGAAAGGCTGGACTAAATTGACTCAAAATTACTTTCAATGGTCTCTAATTGAATTGGAAAGGTTTCGGATTTTGAGAAAAATCCGCGAAAATGTTGCAAAATATATGTTCAAGGATATTTGCATTTCCAAACATTTTCTTCGAAGTTTTATGATTTCATCACTTCATAATACTTTTTGGACACATTTTAGTCGAAATTGTCAGCGTATTTAAACAATTGTAAATTATGGAAAAGTTTCAAAATATGTTCATTATCTAAAATTGGATTGTCATTGCTCTGAAAAAATATGATATATGACAATATATTTTTATTTGAATAGAGAAAAATTTAATAATATGAAACCGAAAAGAGATAACAATATGTAATATACGCACATTTATCGCGGTCATTATTTCCTCACGTTTTCCATTAAATCAAGATTATTTAGTTTGTTATGTAATAACGTTACCTATAATCCGACGGGGCGTATAAAAATATTCAACATCCCCTCTATGGCAAAATTTTGGGTTTACGCCGTATTACCCAAATACGTCGAAGTCATATCTTCAAGGAAATAATATAAATATTACAACAAAATTGAAAAATTATAATATTTACCCAAATATTGTATATTCTAATTCAAAAATTCATATTTTCAATTTGTTTTGCTTTTATTTTCAACAAACGAAAAAAGCAAATAATACGTTCTGTCATAGTTGAATTTTTTCAATTTTGAAAATTCGTACGTCGACGTATTTCGGTAACTTTCATATAAATACATGTGTTATACTTTTGTGGTGAAAAACGTCGAACGAGCTAGTTGGATTTTAGGTAGGGATGTAAAACAATTAGTATACATTAGATATCGGATGTAAGAGACTCAAAAAAAGTCAGTGATTTCTTTCTTATATGTGTTTTTTCTTATATGGAATTATCAAATATGAGAAAGATGTTTCTTATAAGAGTACATACGCATATAAGAAATCTATTTCTTATACAAATATAATTTCTTAAAGTAAAATGTATAAATGAAAAGCATGTTTTATAGAACAATATTTTATTAAATAAAATACAAAGTTACGAAATTACATTATAGTTTGGCAAGAAAAAATTCAGTATCTTAAAAACTAAAAATTTAAATAAAGAAAAATAACAAAATTAAAATCAGTTCATAGTTTGACTAACAATATTTAAATATATTCAGTGTGGCCAACAATCTTAAATATTTTCTTATATGAAATGTTTTCAAATATCTTTGTCAACTTTGGTGTTTGACAAACATTTCTTATATCAGTGTTTATCTTATTCGCGTTTTTCGTATATAAAGCAATTTTTACTCTGAAAAGATGTAAAAAGGCTCGGTGTTTTTGATAATGCTTCTTATATCCGGCTTTTTCTTATATATCCGATATCTACTGTATTGAGAACTACTGTACCGATTTGACGCACATGTTTCTTCAGTTGTTTGTAATTAGTGGGAAGAATTAACAAAATAAACCCTATACTGATGCAATTTTGATAAGGCAAAACAACGTTTGCCGGGTCAGCTAGTATGACATAAAAATACCTAACAACAGCCCATGTTAGGGTCGCCCATAAATCAAGTTTCTCTTCACAATAATAGAGAATTAATATCCCGCTCAAATGATGGGCAATATATATGTCACATACAATTGAGCAAAATTGCAATAACTAAACACAAACACACTTAATAGGTGGTTCCATGTAATTATTAATTGTACCTCGTAAAGCGTTGAGGGAGAGAAAAAAACAAGTTTAATTACATACATACATACATTCGGGTATATATTATTTCTTACGTGTCGGTGAATCAAAAACGAAATCATTTGTTTTTTGTTTTGCTACCGTCAATTCTTAGAATTCACAAGTTAACTTAAATTTGCGATATTTTAATGTAGAAAACAGTAAATAATTACAGCGTCAGTGTAGTTGATAAGTTTATATATACACTTGTGTTCAAAAAATTATTGGGCAGTTGATCAATTTGGTAGTCATTCAAACAACCAAATACGCACATATTGTTGATCATTGGTGTACAAATTTTGAAAAATGAAATGTAAAGATCAAGAAAGCGAATCAAATCTCTGTTTTGGCAAAATATTTTTGGCATATCAACATACAACAACCGACGTTTGTTGTCACCTCTGCGGGTTACTGCATATACTATGGGTGCGGCGAATGATTAAAATACGCTCTTTCTCACGTCTGCTCATAGCTAGAATTCGATTGTTTTCAATTTATGGCGAATGACAAAGTTACAATGAATAGGCATTTGCAATCTATCGCGAGTGATCGCATGTACAAAAAATTTACGAACGATATAATTTCGCTGCAAGCGTCGTCGAATCGATCTTTCGCGAGCATTCGTTGCTGAAGAGCATTCATTCGAAGAACATAAAAAACAAATGGTCGCGAAAACAAACAAAAATATCTTTAAAAGGTAAACACACACAGCGAATGAATGTGTGTGTGTAGTAGAAAGTGTTGAGCATGTGTTGAATAATAAAACACATGCCCATCAGCTATTGAGTTCACGAACGTTTGTTGTTATTCTTGTTGCTGTTTTGAGCATTCTCGAGCATTATCGAATCTTCGTTTTCATTTGTGAGCGAATGTCAGAAAGAATTTCACTCCCCAAACGAAACGAACACTTATTTGGCGAATGCTCGTTTGGTAAAGAATTTATAGCGATAAATTTAGTCGTAAAATCAGCCCAAACAAACGAATTGAACGGATTTATAATAATTTGCGAGTGATTTTTTGTGCACTCTGGAACAAACATACATAGACATTTTAAATATTGTTGCATGCAGCGCTACAATGGTATTTAACGCAATGACATATAAGAAAAAACTTGAACAACGTGACCGGAGACGTAGCACTAGAAATTTGGAGGATATGTGCCAATTACGGTACAGTAGGATGAACCTCTAAAATGATACAAACTAATTTAAGTCTACAAATCAGTGATGTGACTGTACGCCGGAGATTAATCTAAAATAATGGAAATGCCAGAATTCCTAGGAAGGTTCCGCTTTTGAGTTGAGTTTTGCAAAATTTCATAAAGGCTGACCACTAGAAAAGTGGCGTAACATATTATGGATGTATGAAATACAAATTGTCTTATATGGCGGAACAGATTCCAGATAGTATGTTCGAATTCCCCCAAACACAGAATACCAACCTCAATACACAGCCAAAACTGTAAAGCATTCAGGGTTGAGTATAATGATTTGGGCCTGTTTATACCCTTCACCACACTGTGGTCCAAGGTATTATGTCTTTGTGCAACAGGCAAAAGGAAACGAGATATACACATGGTTCCTTCAGAGAATATGCCTAGAATCACTTTCTTAGACGATTAATGCATGTCCGTCCGTCTGTCCATGTCAAATTGTAAACAAGGTACAGGCCCCGAATTGGATGAAATTTGGCGCTGCTCATCTATTTGCCCCAAGGACGAATCCTATTTAAATTGGTAAAATCGGTTCAGATTTAGATATAGCTCCAATATATATTTTCGTCCAATATATATATATATATATATGCTTTTTTAATTATACTTAATACGATAGAAATGCATAGTAGATAATAATTACCTGTACTGAGAAACCCATTGGTAGCTGTTGTAACTTTGGCGTTTCGTGTGTTTTTTATATTGTTGCTGGCAAATAAAATGTAATTTAACTATTTATTAAAATTGTTTTGTTTAAAAATAAATGAAATATTGTTTTTATGCGGTTTTTTTAATACGGTGTATGTAAATTGGTTTAATGTCAAATTAATTTGCAAAAGGTTAGACATCAAATATCCACATCATCGATTATTTTGCCTTTGCTGTTGTTCTTGTTGTTGCCGTTCTTTTTTTATAATTAATGTTAAATACAAAACGTCACACGAGCTCAATGAGGCAGACCTATGTACTTTAAAAGTACAACGCAAGAAAGTAATAGGACAATGTATGTGCATTAGGGTTATAACTTTTTGGAAACTTTGTATACCAGTATCATATTTGGATGAGTTTTTACATAACATCACATAACATCTTAGTGATTAGGTAATTCTATAAAAAAATTACGAGCGCTTAGAAAAATCATTTGACCGCTGCCCTGGCCATGAAAAATATGTTTGATACCACCGCCGGAAAATTCAGCCTCCATGAAGAAACATCCGACAACGGCATTATGTTGATTGACTTCGCGGCAGAAAAAATCATGGTAGTTAGCAACATCAGAGTCAAGCATCTCTATATACACAAGGCCACCTGGATTTCGAACGATCAAGCAATGAGAAATCAAATTGATCGCGTTGTGATAGACGGAAGGCATTCATCCAGTGTTTTAGACGTTCGATCGATTCGAGGAGCGAATATCGATTCGGACCATTACCTTGTGGCAGCTAAGGTTCGCACTTGGCTTAATGTAGCAGCAAAGGTGCGATCTAAACCAACACGGAAACCCGATGTCGAAAATCTGCAAACACAAAAGATAGCAGAAGCCTACTCCGCTCAACTTACCCACCTGCTTCACAAAAGCATTCCTTATCCCGATAATAATATAGAAGCACAATGAAAAGTATTGCCCACTTCCTACAACGGCAAAACCTAGGATACCAAAGACCACCATCAAGAAACCCATGATACGTAGTGTTATTGAGGTGAAAAACGCAGCGTATAGGACAAACCTTCACACAATAGCAACACGTAACGCGAGAGAGAATTATCGGGAGAAAAGGAGAGATGAGAAACGTATTTTCAGAAAGAGGAACAAGAAAAACGTGAGCAAAAAACGGAAGCAAATCGAAATGTACAGGAATCAGAACGAAGTCCGGAAATTTAACCAACGAGATGAAGATGGAAACCGGGAGACAAATATAGATAGCGTGTTGAGGATCTGAAAGGAGCATTTTGATTCTGGTATCAAATAGTGATTCTGGTATCAAATAGTGACAGTGAAGAAGATATCCCAGAACCAATAAGTGATGACGGTATATAATGTATACAACATAGCCAATATGAGATCAGAACGGCAGTCAATGGACTGAAGAATAATAAAGCAACAGTGCTGATGGGCTACCAGCCGAACTATTCAAAGCCGGTGGTCAGATGTTAGAGCATGCACTGGCTGATTAGTAAAATTTGGCTAGAGGAATGCATGCCCAATGATTGGACTCTCAGCATCCCGTGCGATATGAGCCAACTATAGATGAATAAGTCTCCTTCACATCGCATATAAAGTACTGTGTGAACCACTGATACCAATTACATTATTGGACCAAAGCAATGCAACTTTATACCTGGCAAATCCATCATAGACCAGATTTTCACTCTGCGCAAAATCCTGAAAAAGAAACAAGAAAAACACATCGACAAATTCCACCTATTCGTCGGCTGTAAAGACGCTTTCGACAAACCTATTCGTTCAGAGGTGTTTAGAGCCATGTCTACGTTCGAAATTCCTGCAAAAATAATAAGGCTATGCAGGATAACTTTAAATGGCACAAGGTCTGCAGTTAAAGTCGGAAAGGAACTATCGGAGCCCTTCAATACAGAATGCGGATTCTGACAAAGTGACAGTTTATCGTGTGATCTTTTTAATGTCCTGCTGGAAAACGTTATACGAGATGCAAAGGTGAACACCGATGACATCGACATGATGGGTCATTCATTGCGAGCTGTAACAGCCACCTTTGAACAGAGAAAAAATCCCTGAAAGATCTACGGGCCGATCTGCGTTGACGGTGAATATCGGTATGAACCACGGACATCAGTCGTATTGAGAAATATAAATGAGAAATATAAAGAATTTTTTTGGAGTCATTGTAGATACATATAAACCCACTCTTTGGTAAATCTATCGTCGTATAAGCTGAGTCGATCATAACCCTAATGTACATACATATGCATGTACATTTATTTTGTTTATTTTACAAACCGGTTCTAACTAAGTACATTTTAAGTACGACCATTGAAAAACTCACACTAACTGCATCTCCAATTAGATTCGATTATACCAACTGTTACGTTGATCCGTAGCAATTATTAAAAAAACAATGATAATAATAAATATTTTCCTGTCTTGTGAAAAAACGGAACTAGAGGCCCAAATTCAAAATACGTAAAACAATCTACCTTGTAAATAAAGTAGGATTAGGACATTTAACATACTGTAGATGAGGTGTAACCTTGATCTTTATCTGCAGATCTTTAAATTGTTCACATAAATTTCTACTAACCCTAGAATTTTTGGTATTGAAAATGGTCCTCTTTTTGGAGTAGCCCGATATCATCACTATTAGGCGAAAGGCATTCATCCAGTGTTTTAGACGTTCGATCGATCCGAGAAGCGAATATCGATCCAGACCATTACTTTGTGGCAGCCAAGGTCCGTACTCATGTTAATCTAGCAGAAAATATATGATCTAACACAACACGGAAACTCGATGTCGAAAAGCTGCAAACACAACAGGTAACAGAAGCCTATTCCGTTCAACTTATTCAGCTGCTTGACGAAAGCACTCCTTGTCCCGATAATAATGTGGAAGAACAATGGCAAAGAATTGCCCACTCGCTACGAACTGCAGCAAAATCAACACTTGGGTACCAAAGACACTTGGGTACTAAAGACATTATTGGACCATATCCGCCAATTACCAGATTTTCACTCTGCGCCAAATCGTGGAAAAGACCCACGAAAAACACATCGACACATTCCACCCATTCATCGAATATAAAGCCTCGGACGTTCAGAGGTATTAAAAGCCATGTCTGCGTTCGGTTTTCCAGCAAAATTAATACGGCTATGTAGGATAACTTTAACTGGCAAAAGGTCAGCAGTTAGAGTCGGAAATGACCTATCGGAGCCATTTTATACCGAACGAGGATTCAGAAAAGGTGACAGTTTGTCGGGTGATATTTTTAAAATCTTGCTGGAAAAGTATGACCTTTTCCAGAGGCAAAGGTGAACCGAACACCAAACAACACATGCTACTCGCCGATGACACCGACATAATATGACGAACATTGCGAGCGGTAACAGCCACCTTTGAACAAATTGAGAAGGAGTCTGCCCAAGTGGGACTGACAATAAATGACGAAATACCAAATGTGGAACTTGAAAACTACAGCTTCGATGTAGTGAATGATTTTATATACCTCAGTACCGTCATAATTAATACCATTAACATCAGCTTTGAAATCCGGAGAAGAATAGAGTTGTCAAACAAATGCTACTAAGATCTGAGTGAGCAAACTCACATTTTAAAAGGCGCTGATACTACCCGTGTTGTTATATGGATCTGAAGCATGGGTACTTGCGCTCTCTTGGCGTGTTTGAGAGAAAAATTCTGTGAAACATCTATAGACCGATCTGCGTTGACGGTGAATATCGCCGTCGAGTGAACCATGAGTTGTACCATCTATTCTCGGGCATCGGCATTGTCAGACGTATCGAACTGCAATCACTACGTTGGCTAGGTCATGTTGTGAGAATGAATGAGGATGCCCCAGCACAAACGGTATATAAAAGCGAGCTTACTGATGGCTCACGCAGAAGGGGAAGGCCACGAATTAGATGGAAAGATTAGGCGAAAGAGAACATTTCGAAATATGGTCTTTCAAATTGGAAGAGGTGGGTGCAAGACCGACGCGCCTGGAAATCTTTTTTAAGTTTGCCTTATGGAACAACCGCTCTGTTACAAGCCAGTTAAGAAGAAGATTCTCTATTTAATTTTATTTTAATTATAGAGTCGATCCGATTTGACTTTGGACCTTTCCTCTTTTTACTTTAAATAGTTTTTATTCATCCGATTATTTTTCAACGAATTTAACCAATGCGATGGAAAAGTAATAGCTTGTCATCGGAGTTTAAATACAATATTACCGGTTTCTGTTAACTGTACACTATTTTGCCAGACACACGAGCCACATTTATTTAAAAAAAAAACTTTTTTTTTTAAGATAACTAATAACTATGTCTGCAAACAGTCTACTGATCAATGTCGGTGAATCGTTAAATGGTCAAAAACATGATGATGGTCGAAAGATTTTCACTTAGCCACATGGAAGCTTTAACTTTGGATAGCAAGCTAAACCTCAAAAAAAAAAAAAAAAAAAAAACATCAACAACCATATTAACATTTAAGCTCTCGTGTATTTCTTTTTTTTTTGTTTGACAATATTATGTAGGTATGTAGGTAGATATTCATAACACTCAAATTTATGCATGTGTGTGTTTGTATGTTCTGATATCAAAACAAAATTTCCAATAAAATATCGTACGATTTTTTTGATTCGATGGGTTATTTGTTGTCTAATTTTGTTTTGTTTTATTTTCGTGAAATAGATTTACATTAAACGCTTATTAACAATTTAAATTAGTACTGGTTTATTTATTTTCTTTTTCCTAATTTAATTCACCACGAATCGCGCATTTGCATTTCGATTTTAAATTTGGACTCTGTTCATTCTTACTTCAAATTTTCACATTCCCGTCGTTTCAAGTCGTTATTTTTTTATAATTCCTTGATGTCGTTGTTTAAAATCGAAATAAATTGTTTTTTTAATTTATTTTACTTATATATCGCGTCTACTGCCGTACGCGACAACGTTTGACGAAGAACTCAC